CAGAATTGGACCTAAAATTCGCCGAGCAGTGGAACGCAGTATTATGTGAATTGGACACCGGAGCCAACACCAGCCTGATTGGCCATGATTACCTCGCTAAGCTTACCAGTGAGAGTCACCCATCGCTACTACCAACAAAGTTTCGTCTTCAAAGCTTCGGTGGCAACCCGATCAATGTGCTGGGTCAGATAAAAGTTCCATGTCGCCGACTCGACCGGAATTACCGCCTGGTATTGCAGGTGGTGGAAGGTGATCATCGTCCCCTGTTGTCAGTAAAAGCGTCACGTGAGCTAGGATTTGTCAAGTTTTGCCGAACAGTTTCATTCACTCAAGGGGAATCACCAGACAAGCTGATGAACATCTACAGGGTCAAGGCTCAGAGAATCATTGAGGACCATCAGGACCTGTTTACCGGATATGGAATGCTGCCAGGTGTGGTTTCATTGGAAGTGGATAAGTCGATAACACCATCAATTCAGCCTCCGCGACGGGTCCCCATAGCGGTTCGTGAGAAGCTGAAACGAGAATTGGAATCGCTTGAACAATACGGAATAATTGTCAAGGAAACCCGCCATACGGACTGGCTCGCTTCGATGGATGTATTCTTTGCGGAATATCGTGGAGCCAAACGCAGTTTCCTGATAACTATCGATCACTACTCCGATTTCTTCGAATTGTACATCTTGAAGGACCTCACTCCGGAATCCGTTATCATCGCATGTAAGCAGAATTTCGCCCGTCATGGTGTTCCACAACGCGTCGTCTGCGACAACGGTACTAATGTTGTCAACCAGAAGATGACGAAGTTTGCTTCCGAATGGGACTTCGAGCTTGTTACGTCTGCACCATATCATCAACAGGCCAACGGTAAAGCTGAGGCTGCCGTTAAGGTGGCCAAGCATCTGTTGAAGAAAGCACAGGAAAGTGGAACGGATTATTGGTACGCCTTGTTGCATTGGCGTAATATTCCGAATAAGATTGGTTCAAGTCCAAATGCTCGACTCGTCTTCCGTTCCACCCGGTGTGGTGTGCCAGCAGCGGTTGATCGTCTGCGTCCAACGGTGGTGGAAGAGGTTCCAACTGCAATCGGCTAAATTCTACTACGATAAGAAAGCAAAACAACTACCTGCGTTGCGGGTGGGTTCACCAGTTCATGCGCAGTTGAGGCCCGATACAACGAAGTTATAGACACCAGGAGTCGTCTCAAGTCGCCTCAACGATCGGTCCTACGTTGTGAATGTGTATGGTGTGGATTACCGTCGATCGTTGGTTCACCTCAAGCCACGTAAGGATCCCGAAACGCCGCCAATACGCTCAGCACCTGTGGTTCCGATTACAAACCAGGAACTACGGTCGAATCCAACACCAACGGATAATTTGGAATCTGATGCCAACCCGACAGCTGATTGTATTCCTGCCTCGATTCCTGCTACCTGTCAGGTGGAGCGCAACGCAAACAACATCACAAATGAGACGATGCCTACTTTGTTTACACTAAAGAGCCTGAATTTATAAAGAGGCGACATCTTATCAATTCGACAGGTCTTTTGCTCGATTGGAATGACTTTTCCTATGACTTTGACAGACAATCGATTGTTCCAATTTTGACATGTCGTCTCTTTATAAATTCAGGCTCTTTAGTTTACACAAGCTGCGGCTACACCACCCACTGCAGTTGCAAATCGGTATCGTCACATTACACCGTCGTCATCTGAATGATTATCAACTCTAGACTTGTGAAGCTTTTTGAAGAAACGAGAAGATGTTCTATATTACTTTGATGTGCCCCTCGTTTGAAGAACAATCTACTACTACTTTTATGTTATATACTCTCGACACACACACACCTAACTATCATGCTCTTGAACGCCATTGTTAAATTAGATCTTGCGCGATACGGATCGCTACGTGTAATAAGTTTAAATAAAAGTTATTTCTTGATTAAATTCTTGATTTATTTCGAAGAATAGAACACTAACTGTCAAAAAACCTGAAAATTTATCCATTGTGCGCCGGCCTTACCTCTCACTGCGTGACAAAACGTTCTGTCAGCGATAGTCGGTTGATGTGCGTTGACGAGTGTCGAGTGAGTGTCATGATATTTTGCATCATTGGTGGAGAATACACTCCACCCGATGTGAAAGGCATCAGCGCCACACTACGCGTGGAATTTTGGAACGTTCCCGTGCATGATTTGGTGTAAACATGCAATTGTCATCTGCTACAGGTTCCTTCGGGGTATCCCGAAGATTCCGACAGCGGCCAATGTGATTAATGATCCATTTGAAGTTTACGGACCATAGGGAAGAGCGCTACTTCGTCGTAATCGCCTATTTCCGTTCTATCGAGCAGAAATCATCAACAATATCACTGATTTCACCGTGCACAAATCAATAATAGGTTTGTTCCGATCCGTTAGTTCATAAGCCAAAACATAAAGCCTATTACAGCGTATTGTATGAATATTTACACTAATTGTTCTCAGCACAAAAGAAGCACTCCTAGCGAGTCTACTTTTTCTATCATCATCCGTACACACTTAGTTTTTTCTACCGAGCTCGGCTGTGCAAATCTCGGCAAAATAAGTTTCACTGAGATCTCAGCAAAAGTGACATTTGATTGCTGAGTCTCGGATAATGCTTAGCTGAATCTCAGCAGACAAATGAAATGTTTGCCGATATCTCAGTAAAACTTTTTTTGCCGAGATTTGCACAGCCGATCTCGGTAGAAAAATCTAAGTGTGTAGGACGAAGAAAATCTAATGGCGTTTCAATGCGTTAGGACGGAAATGAAACTCGTGGGACGAATTGAGAATCAAGAAGCAGTGTTAGGTTTTTACTAATATCTCAACATTGTTGGACTCAAATGAAAAGTTGAATAAATTTAGAAATTATCTTCGATGAAAACATACCATGTTTTGTTCAAACCCTTTCAAAAAAAGAGAGGCATGTGCGGGCTGTGCTTATTAGAACGAAAATTAGATCAAAATTCCTATTTGACGAAGTTACAACACTCCAAAGTTGACCGAAAATTTGCCTATCCTAGTTATTTTGAGTATTCCCTGTACTTGTCATGTGGTTATAGTTCGAGAAATCTCAACAAGTGCAATGAATTTTCGATTTAAATTTGTTTGTTTGTTTTATGATCACATTATATGCAGATGTCAACATCAAGCATATCTCCATACTTTTTTTTATTAGTTCACATACAGTCACCAAGGCTTGTATCTGGTTTTTATAACTTTTCTTCATTCAAACCATCTTCTGGCATGTAAATAAAAGCTGTAAAAACTGACAGTGCCGTCGATTGCCAAACACTCAAGCTCTGAGTTGATTCTTGTTTCGAGTCTGCAAAGTTTGCCGAATGCTAATTCACTCAATTTCCATGACTTGCATTCAACATTTATGGCTGTTTGGAGCCCACCAGCTGAGATGTTTCCCAGCACGATGTAAGATGAAATCGACAATCAACACAATGAATATAATTCATCGGAAAATGCCCCCAAACCTAACAAAGTCGTAATGTGGTTTTCCAAGCTGCCGGCGAAGTTCCGTTATGAGTCCATTTATCATCCAAACAATTATTATATCGCCCTACATTCCAACGAAAACACCATTCATCCCATTAGCAATTACAACATAGTAGGCGTCGCTCGCTCGCACACACACACACACGCGCGCGCACGTGCTTTCGTACTACCGCCATGGCAACCGAACTTAACGACCCTGAAACAATTGTTTTCGACACTATCCGACCGAGAGACCGACGCACTCACCTGCACACAGGACAGGAAGCCACGGCCTTGCGGTCACCGGTGTCCTTGTTTGATTCGTTCGCATTTTTTCCCCGGAATAAAAACACACTCCGTCATACTCCTTTTTCGCTCGCAAATATCGTAAAAGCAATTGGCACACTTGGATCGGTCAGGGCTTAGGGCGGCTGTCAGGATGATGATGTCTATGCTGGGTGGAACGAGTAATCTGACAGTAAACGACATCGACGACGCCGACGACGACGACGCCAACGACGCATGGTGTTCCCGTGTGAGCTACGTGATCCTGTTTATTCGGGACCACACCGGAATCGTCACGTTTCGGCGCTAACGAATGTATTTGCTAGCGAACGATGAGACCCCGGAGGCGAAATGCATAATTTATCGTTCCCCGTAGTGTAATACGATAATAATTAAATTTATCTCGATGTTTTTTTGATTGCGAAAATATGGTGTCAACGGAACGGAAACCGACTAGCAGAACGAGCACCAAGGTGGAGTGAGAGAAACCAATATGCCTACGTTTGCTGGCTGATGGGTGCCGATAACGATGCGTCGTGTTCTCCTGTGGATGTGTGCTGGCCAGCAACCGACGTATAATGGCAGTGCAGGGAAGACCAGTTTGTTAATGGCAAAAGCGGATATTTATTGTTTCGATGAGAAGAGAGCTATTATCTGGCGATAGGGTTGTTCGTGTAGGGAGCTCGTGTCATCAAAGGACTCCCTGGAAGCGATATTGACATTCTTTTTTATTTGAAATTATAATTTCAACCGAACGTTGCAACCGTGTCAGGGTCAACTGGTTCGGATTTTTTTTTTGCTTCAGGAAAAATATTTCCTCAGTCTTATGCACATTTTTCTCTGCTGTTGACACTAATGATTCTTTCGCCGGGGAAAGTGAAACGACACAACAGAGTGCAGACAGCTCTTTTATGCGAAACAACAGCAATGTCAGCAGCAGCATCAGCAACGTCATTCCGGTTGCTGTGACAAGTACTAACGAGTACTACGATTCACTCTGATTTACATAAAACACGTCCCGGAGCTGGGAAGGATGAGCATAAGAAAGAAAAAGACCAACAATAGAAAACCTAGCGGAAAATATCGTCACGTACCAGGAGAAAGTCATGCATATAACATGATGACATATCGCTCCCAATCGAAGCGTGCCATGTTTCCACACTCCCCAAGCGAGGAGGAGGAAATCTAAATAATGTCATGTTTACAGATCATGCTCATCGACAACGACGGAAGAATTGTCTGGGGCTGAAGCGATAGTGGCCTAGTGAATGCTGTGTTTGCTTTCCAGAAAGTATTATAGTGTGGGAGGAAAAGTCACGGAACCGATAGAGTGGTATCCGGTTTTTGCATATTGACAAAACAATCCAAGTGTGGTGAGTGGAGCCCGTGGGAAAAGTGAGGGAGGGTGTGAATGATGAGACAAAATCATCAATTAGTGAAAGTGACCAATTTTGTGCTCTATCTGGCACTGGTGCTCCCGGGCGGAACTCTGATTGGGAGAAAACGTCAGGAGGGAACGGTTCGAGCGGAGGCCAGTGAATCGTCCGGTAAAGGAACGGCGGCCGAGTTTCTTCCATCGGGGAATTCGGTGGCGTCAGGAAACATCGTGGGAAGCCATGGCAAAGGATATTACCGAGGTGAGTGGCGGTGCTGGGATTTGGGAATTAATTTGGAAAGTTTAAATTGACATTTAATGCCATTATTTTTGGGAACGTTGTACAGTCAAGTCTATCTAAACGGGATATTGATGGAGATAATTGAAGAATTTTTTATGGGATATGCGATTGAAGTGTAGTAAACTCTCCACAGCTCGATGGCTACTAACTCGATTTCGAACCATGGTAAAAATGCATTCCATGGCTACTGCGACTGCGATTTTGTATGAGATCATTCTATAACCAGGGTGGCCAGCCAACCGGGAAAACCGGGAATCTCGGGAAATATCCGGGAATTTGAAAAGTAACCGGGAAAACCCGGGAAATTGACGAGAGAACCGGGAAAATAGATTAACCATAGGGTAGAGCGCTATTTCGTCGTAATCGCCCATTTCCGTTCTATCGATCAGAAAAAGATCAATGATATCAATTATTTCACCGTGCACAAATCAATAATAGGTTTGTTCCGAGGCGTTAGTTCATTAGCTACAACATAAATCCTCATAGAGAGCATTGTATGAATATTTACGCTCATTGTTCTCAAAACAAAAGAAGCGCTCCTAGCGAATCCCCTTTTTCTACGTTTATCCGTAGGACGAAGAAATTCTAATGGCGTTTCAATGCGTTTGGACGGAATTGACCGTCTACACGAAACGAAAATCAATTATTTTATTCATGTGTTTCACTTATACATTTTTGCCAAAACATCAGCCTTATACATTCCATAAGACAAACCACATAGGTCCTATAAGAATGCATAAAAGGTATGTGTGACCGCTTATACATCTCATTTGACACATGATCTTTATTAATTTTTTGCAGGGCGTCTGCTTATTAGTTGACTTATAAATTTTATGAATAATCAGCAATAGAAATTTGCCAAAAGGTATAAGGAGATTTCTATCCGTGTAGCAGTATAGTTCGATCGTTCGTTCGCTTCGCTATCAAGTTTTTTCTAGTTCGTTTTATTGCTACGTTCGCGTCGTGGAAGTGCCGTCATCAACAGGCGCATTGGCAAGTCTAATTGCACTTGCCAATAAACAAAACAGCTAGCAAGAAGGCCCAAACGGATCCCAGCGCTGCTTCGGATGACGCAGCAAATCGGCTGCTGCAGAGTAACCAATTCTCGGTGCTCGGAGTAGAAAATGGCGGTGGTGACGCCGCTGAAATTGCGAAAAAGGAGCGGATTCCCCCGCTGTTTACCCCGATGAAGGACGTCGCCCAGCTTAGGGATGAGCTGGCGAAACGCAAATTGTTCCCGCGATTCAAAATCTGTAGCGTTGGAACAAAGATCATGTGCTCCAGCCTACAGCAGTACAAGTCGGTCGGTGACCTGCTGAAGAACAGCACAGTGGAGTTTTACACTCACGATTTGCCTTCGATGAAACCATTAAAGGTTGTTTTACGAAGCCTGCCGTCGTACGAAGCGGCTACCGTAAAAGATGAACTGGTCAGGCTTGGATTGAAACCAGAGGCAGTCCACAGTTCAACCATAGAGGTAACTCTAAGACCACTGGGTCCCGAAGAAAATCATTATTATTTTTGGCTCACTCAGTACCAGAACAACGGTCCCAAGCAGTCCCAAGCTATTTCACTCACCCCTGCATGTTCTGCATGAATCCACACACCCCTGATGTTATCTGTCAAATTTTCATAGCGAATCAAAACAAACATATAGCGAATTCGTTTATTATCGGGGTTGGAACCAGTTCCAACCCAGTGCGAAACCGAACTTTTTGTCAGTGCGAACCTCAACCTGAGCTGGGTTTTAAAAACAAACGATCGAACTGACGTTTGTCAGAAAACAAGCAGGCCCAATCTTGATACCCGATCCAGGTTGGAACTGAATAATAAACGAATTCGCTAATAGTGTAGTAATAGAATTTCAACTAGAATAGGGTGCGTTAATCGTTTGCTTGGGAACAATAGGCTACTAAAGTGGTGAGCCAATTTAAAATCGTTAGTTTCGTATTGATTGTTGGTTCAACTATCGTGACCAACTGTTTCTGGTCCACCTCACGAAGGGCTCCACCACCCTTGCATACGTGACCTGTTTCAGGTCATTATCGACTGGGAATACTACAAGCCACAACACCGTGATGTGACCCAGTGCACAAGTTGCCTCTCCTTCGGCCATGGCACGAAGAACTGTCTTATGAAACCACGCGGCGACAAATGTGCTATGGTCCACTCGACCGTGCCACTACTCGGGACTGCCCCAAGCGAACGGAATTCATCACCATGAGGAAGAAGGTGGCTACTAGCAACCAGCCAGGCCAGCATCGAAATAAACGTGCACCACCAGCCATCACGGACGAATAATATCCGGCAATCCATCCTCGTCTGGTTCAAATCTTCCACCGCTACCTCTCAACAACAGTCAACGAGCCACCCCTTCAGCTCAGCATCGCCTCACTGCTGCTGCAGCTCTGTCAAATCAAGCTTCTGCCTCGGCGCTTGCACTATCGTACGCCTGTGTTGCCTCAGGTGACTCAGTCGACGAATCCCCGCTAACATCAGAGGAACTAGTAACGCTGGTTGCAGAGGTGATCGTCATTCTGCGCACCTGCAAGACTCGATATGAACAGCTTCATGCTGCCTTGTCACTCGTCACCAAGTATGGACCGTGAAGCTATAAAAATTGCAAATTGGAACGCCTGCTCACTGACGAACAAGCATAGAGAGCTACTCGATTTCCTCAACACCAAGGAGGTCGACAGTGCTATCATCACCGAGACGCATTTGAAGCCCGAACTGAACGTATTCCTTCCCGACTTCCGGCTCGTCAGACTTGATCGCACCTGCTCTGGAGGTGGAGGAGTGGCCATCGCTGCAAGACGGAACATCAGTTGCCGGCTGCTACCAAACTTCCAGCTGAAAACAATTGAAGCCATCGGAGTGGAGGTGAGCACATCACTTGGCCCAATCACCATCATCGTGGCCTACTGCCTCAAGCAAACCAACATCAGGGACGGGTCGTCAGTGGCCCTCCGGAAAGACATCATCAAACTCACGCAAAACACTAAGCTTGGGGCAATGGTCGGAGCAATAGAAACGGCACCATCCTCAATGAAGACCTGCAAGAGGGCCAATATACCATCTTGGCCCCGGAGTCGGTTGAGTCGGTCTGGGGTCCATGCGACCATCTACATCGTCGTAAGCAACATGGGAAACAACATCTCGCAATCTGTGGCATTCCAGGAGCTGAGCTCGGACCACTACCCGTTGGTGGTCGAAGTTGGATCCTCGGTAAACCGATTCGAAGCTTCCCGGCGCAACTACCATCGAGTCAACTGGGCGCAATATCAACACTGCGTCGACACAACCATCGACTACGATGTCCAACCGGGGACGTGCGAAGATGTTGACCGGTGTCTACAAACCATCGAGGAGGCGATTTCCCGGGCCAGGGAAGAACACGTGCCAGTATCCAGACAGGTGAGCAACACTCTGAACCTTGACAGCCCTACCAAAGATCTCATTAGACTCCGTAACACCATTCGTAGGCAGTACCAGCGTACTGGTCTGCCTAACTTGAAGACCAATTGTAATCGATTAACAAAGATCATTCAGGCCAGGATGGTGGATCTCAGAAATAACGATTTTGCTAGTAAGATCCGCTATCTCCCAGATTGTGCTAAGCCCTTCTGGAAACTTTCAAAAATTCTTAAAAACAAGCCTAGGCCCATTCCACCACTGACCTGTAACTCTACTGTCTGTATCCCGGTAAAAACGCTCAGTAGCAAGAAACCTCTCGAGCTGTGTCTCAAGGTCGGCTTACTACTGGGTAATCTGGAGGGGCTTCGCGATCAAACGGTTACAGACCCCACTGGATCGTCCCAGTGGTTCATCTGATAACTCCTGAAGAGAAGGCTGCCGCGATAGGTCAACACTTTGTCAGCTCCGATAATCTCGGACAAAACATCGTCAGCCCTCATGAATCTGAGGTTGCTGAAAATGCAACCAATCTTCTTCAGATTCCTAACATTTTTCCAGAGGAATCCGAGATTACGGCTGACAATCTGTTGGCCTATATCAAATCATTTAAAAACATGAAGGTCCCAGGTTTTGACAAAATCCTGAATCCATCTGGCACTGATTTTTAATCAGTGCCTCAGACTTGGCTACTTCCCCTCGACCAATCAGCCTTCTCTCAGGGTTATCAAAACTGTTCGAAAGAGCAGTTTACCACCGGCTCCTAACATCTGCCGATGAAAACAACTTGTTACTCGAGGTCGTTCGACCGTCCACCAGCTGACTCAAGTAACAAACATTCTCAGACGGAACAAGTCGGTTTCGAAAACATCTGCCATGGCGTTGTTGGACGTTAAAAAAGCGTTCGACAATGTCTGGCATGATGGCCTGGTGTTCAAATTGCAGCAGTACGGTCTTCCAATCTTCCTAGTGAAGATAATAAACAACTATCTATCAGACAGGACGTTCCGAGTCTCTCTGAATGGCATCTCATCGGATGCTTTCAACATCGGTGCCGGGGTTCCACAAGGAAGCATCCTTGGCCCCATCCTATTCAACCTGTTCACCTCCGATATGCCGGCTCTCCCTGATGGTGGGTCGTTGTCTCTGTTCGCAGATGACACATCCATCGTCTGCAAGGGTAGGGTCATCGGAGCTCTGACTGCCAAACTTCAGAGAGGCCTGGACGTCCTGTCTGAATATTTCAACAGCTGGAAGATCCGTATCAACGCTGCAAAGACCCAGGTCATTATCTTGCCACACTCTAAATATCATAGACTTGTTCCGTCGGAGAATAACAAGATCTGCCTGAACGGCACAGTGGTGGAATGGTCCAAAAAGGTCGTGTACCTCGGGCTAACACTAGACAGCAAGCTTCTTTTAAGGAGCACGTTGACAAAACGAAAACCAAGTGCACCATCTTGATAAGATCGTTGTATCCACTTATGAACAGGAAGTCAACCGTGTCCCTGAAAAATAAGCTTGCTGTCTACAAACAAATCATCCTT